ATATTTATTTTCCGGATGAGAGGTTCTAGGAAAAGGACATAGAGGACACAGCTAAGGGGGTCTCCTTGTCGCACACCACTCATAACAGGAAAAGCGTAGCTTGTAAAGCCATTTACCATGACCTTTAACTTGATATCAGCGTATAGGGCCTGGATAGCCCGGCGGATGGTCCGGGGAAGACCAACGTTTTTCATCAGACGCCAAAGGAATTTGTGGTCAACCCGATCATATGCTTTTTCTTGGTCGATAAAGAGGAGGTAAACCCCATCATTTTCTCGTCCTTTATTTTCATCAATGATTGATTGGACCAGTCTTATATTATCATCAATAAGTCTCCCTGGCAAGAAGGCATATTGGTGTGAACCTATGACATCATTGAGGGCAGAACAGAGCCGACGTGCGAGGACACTAGTGAGCAGCTTGTAATCCGTATTTGCCACTGTAAGAGGTCGATAATTTTGAGGTCCAGAGCGGAGCCTCGATTTTTGTACAGGATGGAGAGGACCCCAATCGAAAAGGATTCAGCCGCTTTTTCGCCTTGGAGAAGGGAGTTAAAAAGTTGGGCAAGACCGTTGCACAGAATCTCAGCATTTTCCGAGGAAGATTTATAAATCTCCTTAAGTAACTCAATTGGTAAACCATCTGGTCCAGGCGACTTACCCGTAGTCGCCCCTTTAATAGCGGCTCTTACTTCAGTGGAGGTAATGGGAACAGTAATGGATTCACGCAGAGCTCTCGGGATCTTTGGCATAAGGGTGATGAAGTCACGGCCTTTGCGTGCATTGGTGGGCCGTTCTGCGAAGAGCGATTTATAAAAATCAGCAGCCACAGCAGGGAGGTCCGGTGGATGTTTCACCACGGGTCCCTCCGGTCCAGTCTGAAGTGCAGTAATTTGTGTGAAGGAGGAGGCAGAAAATCTGGAGTAGAACCATCGTGTCGGCTTCTCTCCCAACAGCCGATTTTTCGCCATCGCACTATAGGCATAGGCTCTGGTTGCAAATTCGTTCAGTTGACCTTCTCTAGCAGTGACAGCACTAAGTTTTCGCTCAAGCGAGGGATTTGGAGAGGCACGTCGTTGTAGTAGGAGTCTCAAACGTTTTCGTTTTATTTTGGAACGTGTGGCCGAAAGGGCCTGAGTTTTTGCACGTACTACAGTCGAGAGTGATGTCTCTAGCTCATCTTTAAGGGCTGCCCAGCGGCTTGGCGACACAGGCATCTCTTCCATTTTATTGACAAAAAGTGTGAGGCACTCTTGAACAGGTTTTGATTTCAGAAGGTTACATTTAAAGCGGAAACGGCCCGGGCCACGGATTGGTGTAGTAACCGGATTGATTCCAACTGTAACCATGTGATGATCGAGATTGAGAGAACTGGGTAACACATGAGATTCCCAATCAAAGGATCGGTGATATAAGGCAGGTGTCACATAGATTCGGTCTAGACGGGCTTCGCTATTCGGGCTCTTGTGAGTGTACAGAATAGTCTCAGGAAAGCGTTCCCTGAAGCCATCGATAAGGCCAGTTTCGTCATTTAGGAAGGAGAGAAAGGATAGGAGCCGATGTCTCTCTTGCAAGTTGTGTCGTCGCTGGGAGGTATGATCCATAGTGTTAGTGACAGTGTTCCAGTCTCCCGCAACAATGTCACAACGGATTCGGCTCTCTAGCGAGACTAAGAAGTTAGTTGTGTTTTCCAGCCAAAGGGCCCTTTCAGTACTATTAGCTGGGACATAGACACAAGCGATATTCAGTTGCTGATTTTTACAACTCAGATTTGTAACAAGGAGACGGCCAGCTGCGTCATAAAGGTAGTTTTCCGAGGAAAAATCACCTAACACAGAGGGAGTATTGGCACTAGATAAATACGTCGTTTCGGGATTAATCATAATTGCCACTCCTCCATTTCCTTCATCATTGTTTGGGTTAGTAAGCAGTCGCATGCCGGGGAATGTAGCATTAAGACGTTCTGCTCGATCTTTAGAAAGGCGGGCTTCCTGTATACAAAGGATATCAATTTTTGACATCCGGAAAAAATGTAGAACTTCACGGAAACGGACTTCACTCAACACAGACCTGACATTCACAGACGCGACGAGTATGGACTTAGACATCTTCAAATGATATTTACGCGATCAAGCTATTGTAAAAGTTATCGGAGCCAGAAGGGCTTGGTACAGGAACTAAACAATTGCAACCCGTAGTGCTGTGCCCCTCCATGCATATAGCACACGGGGGTACTGGGCTGAGCGGAACGAAAGCGACGGTGAATTCTACATTTTTAAAGACAAGGGAGATGCGGTTGAAATTCTGCGGTTGTCCAAATGTCAGAAGACATTTGTCACCCATACAACCGAATGCTTCTTCCCTTCGGAGTCCAAATTGAGCTTTTGGGGCATATTCATGGATACTCTGTATCAGAGCTTCCATGGAAACAGGCCCCAGGGTCTTGCAGATGAAGGTCCGCGGTCCCTCCTTAAAGAATGGGGTAAGGCGAACCTCAACCCCCCGGAGGGTAAAAGGCTTGTCAACGGCTTCCTCAGCATCCGAGGAAGATCCGAATCGGATCAACCATTCCAAAGTAGAAGCTCCACTTTGGTTGGATGCACGGATGGGTACCAGCCCCGCCGCACGCATGCCCCGCGTCAATTCAACAACAGAGAATCCCTTTTCCAGGGATTTCCCTTTCTGCCATTCACTGGAGAACTTGGAGAGGTTCAGGTAGCAATGGGTGCCATCCTGGAACTCCGAGGTGGTTTTACGGGATGAAGAACGCCCCGCAACAGCCCGGATAATGACTCCTTTTCCAAGGTCCACATTCGAGACTCGCCCCTTCCCCTTTTTAGAGGGCCCTCTGTCATTCTCAATTTCGGCCCCATTCTGCTTGCGTTTGCCAGCAGTTGAGGACTTAGTTTTTGAGGCCCCCTTTTCAGGGGAGGCCGTGGGCTTTGGCGGGCAGGGGTCCTGTTCCCAATGCTGGGTTTTACACCGGACACACTCACGCGGCGGGGGCTTTACAGCCAGTCGGTCCGCTGTGAGCTGAGCAAGTTTAGCCTGCTTCACCCGCGCTGCTCTACCTTTGCGTTCGGCTTTCCGGGCGTTATTGCGGGCTTTTTTGGCCTCTGCAATTTCCACCTCGGCAGCCCAGTCCCTCACCTCAGGAAAAGGATCCTTTGAGGGATGGGCACCTTGCGACTTGGTTGTTGTTGGCGAATTGCTGGCTGGAAGTGGGGTTACTGGGTCAGCTTGTGCTGGCTCCATTGCTGCATCCCTCACCCCCAGACTGCTTGCCGATTTTGAGAGCTGGTCCATGTCTTTGGAAGGCTCGACAATTTTAGGGACATCAGAGTCAGAGTCGGAGTCAGATTCAGAAGGGCTGGATTCAGACGAGTCTGAGTCCGACGACAACTGATTCTTTCCTTTCTTAGACCGGGGGTTTCCCAACCCACTCAGTTTTCTCTTGTTTCCCCTTAAATTTGAAGGGCTATCAGCTTCGATCGGGCTCTCCGGCTTAGAAACCGGTCTGTCCGAGGTTGTCTCCACTGGAGCTCCTTCAGGAGCGACTTGCGTCGCGTTGGCATTTTTTGGAGGCATTATGAAGCTTGGGGGTTTAAGGCCCAAGCTAAAGAATCCCTCCGTGATTTAAAAGACAGTTTTTTCTCCTTTGGCTTCTGGGTATCACCCCGTACTGAGCCCCCCGGACCGCTTCAAGGACTCCTAAAAAGGAATAGAGAAGTTTCTGCGTTTGTTAGATTTTAAGATAAAGTGAAAACGCTTCTGGACCTTAGTCCTCCTAAGTGAATAAACTGACAAAAATTATACTTAGGCCCCGGAGGGAACTTTAATATACGCTATTGGAGCTGGAATTACCGCGGCTGCTGGCACCAGACTTGCCCTCCAATCGTTCCTCGTTAAGGGATTTAAATTGTACTCATTCCAATTACAAGACCCAAAAGGGCCCTGCATTGTTATTTATTGTCACTACCTCCCCGTGTCGGGATTGGGTAATTTGCGCGCCTGCTGCCTTCCTTGGATGTGGTAGCCGTTTCTCAGGCTCCCTCTCCGGAATCGAACCCTTATTCCCCGTTACCCGTTGCAACCATGGTAGGCCTCTATCCTACCATCGACAGTTGATAGGGCAGATATTTGAATGAAGCATCGCCAGCACAAGGCCGTGCGATTCGAGAAGTTATTATGAATCGCCAAACTCCGAGGAGGATGGTTTTTATCTAATAAATACACCCCTTCCGAAGTCGGGGCTTTTTACGCATGTATTAGCTCTAGAATTACCACAGTTATCCATGTAGCAAGAAACATCAAATAAACTATAACTGATTTAATGAGCCATTCGCAGTTTCACAGTATAATTTGCGTATACTTAGACATGCATGGCTTAATCTTTGAGACAAGCATATGACTACTGGCAGAATCAACCAGGTAACTAATTCTTTCCGACTTCCCACTGCAAGACCTCGCGCGAAACAAGGCCAAGCTTCAGAAAGCCGAATCAGCTTTGCCCCACCCCTTTCCCTTCGAAAAAGGCAAGAGGAGAGGCTCGGCTGACCGTGTTTTTCACAAAAGCGTTAGCAGTCACTGCGTTTAAATGAAAAACGCAGAGAAAGCTGGAAATCGCTTCACCCCAGTCTCGCTTGGGCACCGAAATGCCCTAGCAGGACGGAAGGTCAGGACGAATTCCTCCTATCTCTCCGATTCCACTTTGCTCTGGAATGAAAACCAAGCCTACGTGTTTGAAAGTTTCGAAACAGTTGCCTGTTCAAATGGACCGACAAAACGTAGCTTAGGCCACCCCTTGGTGGAGGCTAGATGCGATTTTGTTGATTCCATAAAGAAAAAAACTCCAAAGCGTCCGCACCTCCGAGTGAATTTGGTGTTACATAAATGCTTTTAGGACTAGCCATCGGCAAGGATGTTCACCTCATTCGCCATTGCGAGAAAAACTAAAAAGACTTTCCCCGACTTTAATGTTTTCGCCTCTACCGTTCAACCACAAAAGGGGATCAGCAGGCGTGGGCTCCACACTATTCGCCTGGTTCGTCGATACGCCTAAGCGGAGAACTCTATGCGAGGTGAGGTTCCCGGTTTTTTGGAACACAACACATCCGAACTTTGATTCTAGCAGTCAAAACTGTTTCGAGTCCTCACCACGAGCTCGCTCGAGTGGTGATGAAACGGCACAGCAGAGCCTGTGAGAACCAAGCCAAGATCTTCCCCAGAGACATCAAGCAAGCCCGAAGGCAAGCGACTTCAATCTGAAAGGAGGAAAAGAGAAGTTCACAGTCGCCGACGATTTGTACAGATGCTTGCTGCCTAAGCTGCTTGCACTTTCCATTTCGTCGTTGAGCTATTTGCTCCTCTTTCGTATATCCCAGGGTAGGGGAGTCT